ATAAACCAATGGCATGTGAGGTGGTGGGAGACGATCAGACCGATTGCTCTGTTCACTTGATGAAGGATTAAAAATGTATAATTAAAAAAGAAAGTCCACTGCACTCCTCCCGTTAGTGATGGGTAACAGCCTTCCCCTCCTTTCATGTGGCAGAATTGACGTGACAAAGACATCATGTTAGTTTGGCAACTTTAACAATAAGAGAAATAAGTTTCTATTCGTGTGAATAGTCATAAATGTAGTAACTATTTCTTATGTCACTGATGATGTGGAAGTGCTGATTCTTGAGAATATGCTTTTTCCTGCATAAAATCATCATAGAATCATAGAATGGCCTGGGTTGCAAAGGCCCACAGTGCTCCTCCAGTCCCAACCCCCTGCTGTGTGCAGGTCGCCAACCAGCAGCCCAGGCTGCCCAGAGCCACATCCAGCCTGGCCTTGAATGCCTGCAGGGATGGGGCATCCATAACATCAAACTTCCATCAACATCCATTAACATCAAACATGCAAACCCAGAAGTCAATTGGAGTGGCTGATTGAAATTCTTCATTAAATTTGGTGAATATGCTGCACAGGTACTTAGGTAATGTTCTAGGCACACTGCTGATCAGCTGATTCAGTATTAGTGCTTTTAACTTTCCGTTGCTTAGATGTATCACAAATGGAGACTCAGGGCAGATCTCTGTGTTGATGCATCACATGCAGCATAGTGCTGTTTGTCAGACACTGAGCCCTTCCCTGCAGCTCATAGCTGTGGGGCAGATGATGAACAGCAGGAACTGTGCTGAATGGAACAGTGGGTTTTGTTGTATGAGCTCCTCACTGTGATTGCAGTAGGGATTGTATTGCATTGCTCCACAAAAACTGTCAGTGTGTGGCACATAGGAGAGAAACAGGACAAGACAATCAGTGAAAATCACAAGTGAAAGGTATTTATTATTGAATGGCCTTTGTTCACTGTAGCAATAAATGACCCAAGTGCAATGACTTGATTTAATAAAGCCCTCTTGAAAAGTTGCTGCTAGGAGTGTGTTTAGCCATAAGGAAGTTGCCCTAATGTATGTCTGTATTGTCTTCAGCTCCTGGTATGTACTGGAGAGGAGGGCCTTGCTCTGAAGACATTCCACAGAGCAGCTCCCTAAGAGCAGTGTGCTTCTCTGACCTGTTCTGCTGTGCTGTAAAACGATGCATGCTCCCCAAACAGCCAATAAAATGAGTTCAACCTGTGGACACGTCTGCTCACTTCATGGTCAGAAATGTTTCCAGTGCCATTAGAGATGCTTTGTGGGAGGAGGCTGGGTGGAAAAGTGCACTGCTATTCATATAGCTCACCCAGGAGACATTCTCACTGGGATTCACTTGCCAGGTTATTCTGGCTCCTGCTGTTCAGGACGGCTGTCCCAGTAGCTGGGAGCTGCTGCTGCTTTGTTTGCATGTTTTGAATCTTACAAGTGAGTCTGAGAGTTAATTTCTGAGCTTTTCCTATTCCTTTCTTTTAATTTTTGGTGCTGCTAATTGATCTGACCTTTCTGTGCATCTCCAGAGCTTGTTTTAAGGTCCCTCTTACCACTCAGTAACACCAATAAGTGCACGTTGCAATCACTTCTTAAATATGGAGTGAAGAATGAAGACTCAGAACGTGAGGTGCTTGGGAAGGCTATAGGTGAGAGGAAAAGCAAACAAACAATGACAGGAAACCAGTTTAAAAATGTGAAGTGTGTATTCAATTCTCATATTCTGTAATACTCTCACCTGCCATTTACATACAGTTTTGGAAAAATAAAGTGTGCAGCCCTGTGTGTGCTTTTTTACTTGAGCAGTCGCTATGGAGATGACATTTCTCTTCCACGTTGCTTCAGGAGAATTACGTTTCTGATGAGAGTGGTGAATGTATTGCAGGGTTGGACGTGGGGTTACTTAGCAAAGTATATGTTAAATCTTGATGAGTGCAAAGCATCTGTTTGCAAGTTGTAATTTAGCAGAAGTCTCATTAAGTCTTTCGGAAGGAAATGGTAAAAATGGGTCTTTGTGGCTCTGGACTTTGGGCTGTTGCTAAAGCTCTCTCAGGTGTTGCTGATTGCTTTCCCTGAGCTGCGTCAAAACAGCTGCTCCTCTGCCTTGGGAAACTGGGTTTTGCAAGGGCTGAAGGGCTGCACCACTCCCTTCTGGGTGCCCAGGCACGTCCCTCCATCCTGAAAAATGCAGACAGCCCTGACCAGCTTGCAGTGCGAGCCCCACGTGTTCGGAGCAGCCTCTGCACTGGAGGGAGTCACAATTTGAGTATGTTTCTAAGCCCCGTGCAGCACAGCTTCGCACCTCTTGATTTCTGGGAGCAGTGTGTGCATCTGCTGAGATACAGCAGCCCTCCGAGGGCGACTGGGGCTGAGGAGGTGTTTGAAAAGCCAGAGGCTGCTCAGTCATCGCAGCAAAGCTCCTGCTGTGTGTGTGGATGCGTGGCTGCAGGCACCTGGGGAGGAGGCCTTGAAGCAGTGCATTGCGTTACGTGGTGACTGGGCCTTTGCTTTGCAGTTAAAGGTGTGCTGAGGTGCTGCCCCTATGATTGTTTGCCTGGTACTGCGTGGAGTGCGAGGCACTCAGCCTGCCTGGGTTGGCGATGTGGGCGCTGCGCTGTGCTCGGCTTGGCTCCTGTTTGCTGCCAGGTGAGACAGCTTGTCTGAGCAGATCTGTGCAACACAGGAGAGCAGAAGGTGCTCCCTGCAGGCTTTGGGGAGGTACGGCTGCTCAGGTGTGACTCACCCGTGGCAAAGTGGCAGCTTGGCGCTTTGTGGGCGCGCCTGTGACCGTCCTGGCACTGCGCTGCAGCAGCTCTGCTGTCACCTGCCGGTCCCGCGCCGTCAACCCAGTGGGGCCAGTGAGAAAGCAGGCTGATGCCCCGGGTTATTTCCCCATGGGAAGAGGACGCAAAGTGGGGCACACGGCCATGGGTGTGCGGCTGGGCGCTCAGCGGTGACGGCGCCGGGATCCCTGGTGCTGTGAGTTCTCCATGCAGCTGAACCCGGAGTTCTGAACAGGGTGAGTGCCATCACAACGTGTACTTCCAGCTCTGCTTGAGCATCGCCTGTCAGGGAGTTGTGCTCTGTGCAATTGGTTTGTTTGCAACCCGAGGGATATTGGAGTGCTTTGGGCTGTGTTCACTTTGTGCTTCTTCCCTCGGTTTTGTATGCACTCTTTCTTTCTCTGGGAGTAATGAGGCTTCTTGCTTGTAGTTTTGACGTTGGTCTCTAATCACAGTGTTGTCGCTTATGAGAAAACATCGGATTATTTTATTGCTGAAATTGTTGTAGAGGTCATAGAATCTGATGTACCTAAATTCACCTTCTCCAAGTGTGACTCCATTAAAAATGTCACTAACACCACTCCAGTCTCTGTATTTAAAAACCTCAGTCTTTGTCCTTAACTGGCAACGTGTGCTGCAGCCTTTTCAACGCGTGATATGGCAGTGAGCAATGTGAGCGATGAGCTCGTGGTGCTTTGTGAGCTCTTTGGGTTTTAAGGTGACCACGTCACCATCAAAGCCCTAAATAAAGAATTTGGTTCAGTACCTGAGGATTTAATAACTTTTTCTTTAGATGTCAAATACGCATAATGCAAATCTGCAGTGAATGTTTGGGGAAAGAAAATTGTGTAGATGAATAGATAAACCCCCTGTAAACTTTGATTTTGGACAGTATATCCTTGTGAGCCTTACTCTGCTTCTGGGGTGGTGGAGATGAGAAAGCTGTGACCTGAGATGATGGAGAACCCTTGGATGGAGATCTGGGGCCCACCAGTCTGTGGTTCTTTCCTCTCCTTTAACCCCTCCCAGCCACTATTTGTCACTTATTCTTCCTCCTGTTGGCACCTTTGCCCATCCCCACATTACTGGGATCAAATGCCATTAGTCGGAGGAGGAGGATCGGCAGCTGGTGACAATTTCCTTGCTGGGAGATGCCTGGGGCAGTGCAAGTGTGTGTGCTTTAATACGAGTTTCTGTGAGAGTATCCATGTTGTTTCCCCGAAGTGACTGACTGCACTCCGTGTTTGATGCATCTGATGATGCACGGTGGTTGTCTCGGCGGGATGAGGCTGGGTGGTTTCCATGATGAGTCAAGCAATGCAACTGGACGGGATCGGTGCTTCATGGGCAGTGCGTGTCGTTATCTGAGGGCGGCTCAGCTGCCTGGAGCTGCCCCAGATCTACAGATCTTACCGATGGCAGCCCTGGGTGGAGCTCAGTAGGTGATGAAATGCAAAGTGGGTATGAATTAATCAGTGATGAAGCATCGTGAGGTCAGGAATTCCCAAATGTGAAATGGAATTAGGGCTAAGAGCACACGGAGGAAATTTAATTTAATTTTCTCTTCTGGAAGAGAAGCCCATACGATATGTTACCTCCTACTGCAGGTGTTCTTGTTCCCACCTCCTGCATTTCTGAAGCGTTGATCTGAGCCTTCAGGTTTTCTTGCTTTTATCAACCTTTGTTCCTTAGCAGAGCTGACGCTCACTGGCTTTAAAGCTTGTCAGTGCTTTTACCAAAATGGATTGGGTTCCAGAGGCTGACGGGAGGTTCTTCTTTAGAACTAATTTAAAATTCAGTGCTTCAGTGTAGCTCCTTATTTCATAGTATTTTCTCAACGAATAAACAGTTGGGTCTGGAAATGCATACAAAGTATGAACAAAATGCCAGCAAGAAAGTGGGCAACCATCTGTGTGCCTAGCCTCCCATGCCTCAGACAGAGAACTGTCCATTGGAGCACAGCCCCTTCTGTTCCAACATGTGATGATGCCAGTGATGGAGGCTGGAGGGTGTCCAGCCTGGCCTTGGATGCCTGCAGGGATGGGGCATCCACAGCCTCCTTGGGCAACCTGTTCCAGTGCCTCACCACCCTCTGGCTCAAAAACTTCCTCCAATATCCAACCTAAACCTCCCCTGGCACAACTTGAGGCCATTTCCCCTCATCCTGGCACCTGTCACCAGTGAGAAGAGACCAACCCCGCTCTGCTGCAATCGTCTTTCAGGTATGGAAGAGAGCAATAAGGTCTGCCCTCAGCCTCCTCTTCCCCAGACTAAACTAAATGGTTAGTTATCATTACACAGTCATATGTTAGTCGTTACTGAGCTAATCTCTGCAACTAGCACTGATAAAATGCACAAATAGTTTTCAGTAAAAGGTGAACAAATGATGGATTTAATGAATAATGATAATAAATGATAACTGAAAATCACCTTGCACACGCACAGAGGACAGCCTTTGGAATGGGTTTGGCTGCTTGCTTACTGGCAACCAAACTACATTCATGTGAGAACAGACGTGGTGATGTTTAACGCCTTTCTTCCAGAAGAGCAGTGACTGCGAGGCGATGGACGTGAGGGCGGCCCTCTGCCTGCTGCTCTGGGCTGTGCTGTTCCCAGCTGCACCACGCGCTGCTCCTGGGGTGAGTCCGTGAGCAGAGCTGAGCTGCTGTGGGCTACAGAGGTCTGCAACACTTGGTTTCAGCCTGGGAGGGATGGGAGTCACCAGCTCACCTGGGCTAACCCAAAACTGAGTTTCAGCTTCCAGCAAAAGGGAAGCATCTGTTATTTCATATAGGGACCGACACATCTTTTTGGATTGGGTATATTTGGGTCAACATTCTCTTGTGTAATATTGTGCTTCTTATATCAAAATGAAGCTTATATTTATTTTGGTATCAGTTCTCTCTTCCAGTCACTGTCTCTGTGTTTGGATTTACCAACAGAATATTCGCAGACCTACTATTTGCTCTGAATAATGCGTGCAGAGTTGGTCTCATGTGGTTGTACTGCGCTTTTGCCAAGCAGACCTGAGCCAGGGAATACAGATCTCTTTTGTGGATTCATGAGCATTGGTGGAAACACAAATATATTCCTCTCCAAATTTTTAAAAGGTTGTTTTTTCAGTGCAAGCACCTGTGGGCAAGGAACTCTGCAGGCATGTATGGCCCTGCCAATTTTCTCAGTATTGTCACTTCAATAGAAGGGGGCAACTGAAGGCTTTCCATGTGGACAGATGTTAGCAGAGAGTTCTGAATGGCTCTGTGTGCACAGAATCATAGAATGGCCTGCAATTCTGTTGCACAGGCCCACAGTGCTCATCCAGTTCCAACCCCTGCTGTGTGCAGGTCGCCAACCAGCAGCCCAGGCTGCCCAGAGCCACATCCAGCCTGGCCTTGAATGCCTGCAGGGATGAGGTGAAGGGCTCTGAGCACTCTATCCCACATCTTGAGAAGTCTGTATGTCAGAGGTACCATTTTCATATAAGGTCACATTCCTAGTTTATTCCAGGTACTCATCTTTTCCTTATCTTCTTTGTGTTATTTTTCAGGTCCTCAGTAAGGGATCCAAGGCTGGTGACCTGCAAGGTACAGTGAGTAACTGTGTCATCTCCATTTCTTTTTAACTGTCATCCATTATCAGTATTTACACCCATGATACCTCATGGAATGTGCTATGCTGTCTTGCACAGTAGAAATATCTGCTTGATTTATTTTCCAGATGGGTGTAGAGATCTGATTCCCTGTGAAGACAGTGGAACTCTCTGCATTCAGGCCTGTTCTCCCTCCTTCCACGGTGAAACAAGCTTTGTCTGCGAAAACAGAACGTGGAGAATGTTCACAGATGCTTGTGCAAATCTGGACGTGCAGTCACTTTTTCAGGTAATGTAACTGCTACACATCCACTTTGGCCTGTGGTCAGAACGTGTTCCACTCACCCAACCTTTGTATCTTGAGCAAAGGAAAGAAGATGGGATTCTGGAACAGAGGTTGCTATGGTAAGAAGCCTTGTCATCGTGTAAAAGTAAGTGCAGGGAAATGACTTTGGGAAATCCCTGTGCTGAAACACAATTCAGAAATGAAGTTGCCCTCTTCACTTGGCAAATGTCTTGGTTTAGAGTGTGGAGAGCAAAGATAGATACACTGGGATGAAGCTGAGAAAAAAGCAGTGCAAAGGTCTGCAATAATTAGATGATTCATGGTACATTCATCTCCAACTACAAAAAGAACTTTTTTTTTTCTAAGTTACCTGCAGAATAAAACATTACTTTCAGTTCTTCCCCCTTCCTTCACATGCATTCTGCAAACAAGTGTTTCTCAGCGGAGTGCTGGTGCTGGGATTCAGGTCTCCCGGCACAACGACTGCACAGTGTGTTGGGTTCTAGCAGTAGTCTCATTTCATCCTATTTATTAATTGTCTCAAATTATTTTCCTTCCTCCAGAGGATTTCTAAACAGGAACCCCTTCCAAGCTCTGAAGGACATGTTGGAGGAGGACACTTTCCCTTTGTAGTGCCAGGAAAGCCAACGCATGGGAGGCCCGGAGATGGAGCAAAATATTTTGGTGCTGATGACCATGGGAGAAGTAACTGTCAAGCTGATTTCTCGTGCATCATCCCAGATATCTTGTCTTCACCTGCAATTCCAGGAAATATTGCCGATATCGTGGAACTGCTAAAGAACATTTCCCTAATGCTATCAGAGGATGTCAATAGAGGAAAAATGCAGGTATTTACTTTCATAGGCTTGAAGAAGTGAATCTGGGCTTGTCAGGGCAGATGTCAGTTTCCTCCCTTGTTGGCACTATCAGTGAAGTGAGAGCTGCAAGGTGCATGGAGAGCCCCTATGAAGAGGTTCCAAGGGGGGCTGAGTTTTGTTGTCAGACAAACTGTCCTACTCATGTAAAGTGGAGCTCTTCCATTTCATCCCCTGGTGGAATCCTTGCTCTTGAAAAGCAAGTGTTTGCAGGGCTTGCTGTCACAGCCATTGGAGAGTTGGAGAGCAGTTGGGGGAAGACTTCAGATGTGACACCACAGGGATGGCTGTGTGGGAAATGCTGACCACAGTTCTGTTTTCATGTGTTGCATGATGAAAACTGAAATGTTTCTGTGATGAACTTAGAAAGCAGAGAGGTGGAGTGGGGAGGGAGGTGTGAGCAGAGCTGTGCAGCATCAGCTGGAACCCATCTGTGGCGCCCTGAGCTTGTTGCTCTGTGCTGTTCCTCCCAGCACCTTTAGGACAATGAGGTGAAAAGGGCAAGGTGACTCGTACCAGTGAGATGCTTTGGCTGGGTTGATAAGGGTTACATGAACCTGTTTATTATCAAAGTAGTATAATTGCATTATAGAAATTTAAATGAGCCTTTTTAGAGATTATGCCAGTGATGTAATAGAATTTGTTTGTTTTAGCATCAGCAATGGCTTATTTTTCTTCTTTATTTCAGAGTTACAGCAAGATAGCAAATCACATTCTGAACAGCTCCGTTATTTCCAATTGGGCTTTTGTAAAGGACAGAAATGCCAGTTCAACGTTACTGGACTCAGTGAACCTGTTTGCTGGCAAACTTCTTCTGAGGAACGGATCAGAAAATATTCAGGAGCACTTCATCTCTACAAAAGGCTTCAGAATACATCGAAATGCTTCAGGGAAGAGCTTTGATTTTTCTATGGAGTTGAATAAGACGAGCAATGTCAGTGGGCGTGTGGTCATTCCAGAAGAAGAACTTCAGAAGTTACCAAAGACTTCCAAAGCCATCAGCATTGCATTTCCCACGCTTGGACCCATTATAGAAGCCAGCCGTCCGGACCCAGTTTCTGTGAATGGGATGGTTTTATCTGTGTCCCTTCCAGAAGAGCTTCAGCATATTTTACTTAGCTTTGAAAAGGTGAATAAGCTGGAGAATGTCGGGGCTCAGTGTGTTGGGTGGCACTCTACTGAAAGGAGGTGGGATGACAAGGCGTGCAAAATGAAGTCTGAGAACATCAGCAGTGCTGTTTGCATGTGCAGGCACCGCCGCCGCACCTTCAGGTCCTTCTCCATTTTGATGTCTCCCACCTTGCTGAGAAACGCAGTGCTGGATTACATTACGTGTGTGGGGTTAGGCCTTTCTATTTTCAGCCTGATTCTGTGCCTGACCATTGAGACAGCTGTCTGGCATCACGTCACGAGAACTGAAATCACCTACATGCGCCATTTTTGTCTGGTGAACATTGCCACATCGCTTCTCATTGCTGACATTTTGTTCATCGTGGCAGCTGTTGTGCATAACGCAGCCCTGAACTACCGCCTGTGTGTAGCAGCCACTTTCTTCCTTCACTTGTTCTATCTTGCCGTGTTCTTTTGGATGTTTACCCTGGGTCTCTTAATTCTCTATGGATTACTATTAGTTTTTTTTAAGATAACAAGATCAGTATTCATAGTTACAGCGTTCGTTATTGGATATGGATGTCCATTAGTCATATCTGTCCTCACCGTCGCTATTACTGAACCAAGGAATGGGTACTTAAGGAGCGGAGCCTGCTGGCTCAATTGGTATGAGACGAAAGCCCTTCTGGCCTTTGCTGTACCTGCTCTGAGCATCGTTGCAGTGAATTTGGCTGTGGTAGTGGTGGTTGTGGTGAAGACTCCAAGACCCTCTATTGGAGAAAGCTGCAAGTCACGAGATTTGAGCAACATGATCCGAATTAGCAAAAACGTTGCCCTTCTGACACCTCTGCTGGGCCTCACCTGGGGGTTTGGGTTGGCAACGGTGCTTGACAGTCACTCTCTGCCATTCCATGTTACCTTCGCGCTCCTTAATGCCTTCCAGGTAAGCTCAGCAAGTTTGGGCATCGAGTGAAACAACTTACATTAGACATTAACCAGAGTATTTCATGTTTAATAACTGCAAAGATCATCATTATCAATTTACAAATACAGAGAACTCTCACTTAGACATTGAGGGTGGTTCCATGTAACTCACCGGCGTTACTCAGAGTCCAGTATTGCCCAACACACTGTGGTGAACCCGGACAGTCTTGGCTGATGCTCCTATTAAGTAAATAGGAAAGGTTTAGGTATGTAACCCATCAGCCCAGTTTGTAATGAGAATCAGCATGGATGTATATCCATTCTTGGCATTCCTGGATAGTCCATGTGATCTGGGTAGACAAACTCATTTTTTTTTAATTATGAGAGTGGTGAGGTGCTGGAACAGCTGCCCAGAGAGGCTGTGGATGCCCCGTCCATCCCTGGAGGTGTTCAAGGCCAGGTTGGATGGGGCCCTGGGCAGCCTGGGCTGCTGTGAAATGTGGAGGTTGGTGGCCCTGCCTGTGGTGGGGGGTTGGAGCTTCGTGATCCTTGAGGTCCCTTTCAACCCTGGCCATTCTGTGATTCTATCTCAGTGCTGCTACCTGTGTCATAGGCTCTTTTACACACTCAAAGGCATTATTATATTTATGCTGGAGGAAATAGAAATATTTGAGAAACAACATGTGGTTATGCTGACTTTGATGACTGTTTTTGCTGTGTTTCAGGGATTCTTCATTCTGTTGTTTGGGACACTTCTGGACAGAAAGGTACTCGGGTCATTTCCTGGATTACATTAATATTTTCTATATCCATAAACCTCTGCCTCTGATTTTTTTCTGTTGTTTTTCATGTACAGACCAGAGAGGCCTTGAGGAAGAACTGCCTTTCATCAAAGCGGGAGTGCAGCCTAGCAAAGGTAACGTGTTGTTTCTGTTGTTTTGTTTTTTCTCTTCTGTGGCTTAATTTACAATTTTTACCAACCTGCTCACTCATACATGGAAAGAATTTTATGAATATGGAGGTGTTCATAATGAGAAGTGGCAATCTGGGACTGCTACATAAACTACTGTTACTGTTACAAAACTACAAGTATTATTTTATTCTTATTTCTTCCCCAATAGATATCAAAGCCATTTAGAAAGAGAATGCATGACTTCTCCCTTCAGTACAGCAGGCCTCCTTTGAGGTTACTGAGTGAATGAGATACATCATTAGGATTCCAAAATTCCCGTATAGTGACCCCATTGTGTTCTTCACAGAAGTACTGCAGGGTGACAGCAGGGCTGTCTGACCATGTCAGGAGGGCTGGTCTGCTTCCAGCTGAGCATCAGCTCAGGATGGAAAGCACTCAGAGCTCAGCCAGCACATTAGGGACTCATCAGTGTTAATATGAGGGCAGTTTGATTGAAGGAACCTTTGTTAAACTGCTCTCTTCTGTAACCAAGGCTCCATGGTTTGATGTATTTCCAGAAGGGAATCCCTGGTAGTTCTCCCAGCTGTTGTCCACAGTGCTCCTCCTATCCACCCAAGCACGGTCACTTCAGTTTGAACTTTGTAAAACAGTTTCCCTTGCTTTTCTCCACTCTTTGTTAGTCAGTCCTGATTCTAGTATTGAAAGCTGTGATGACTTTCAGTGACAGTGTGTTCAGATGTACCTGGCGGGGAAAAACAGAAGAAAGAAGGGTAATACTTTCTTGGTGCTACTGGCACTGCTGTGCTCAGGTTCGCTCTGTGTGACAGAAGCTGACTGTGCAACTTCTGACCTGTCTGCATCCTTCCTCCGCCACGGTGTCTCCGGTAGCGTCCAGCTTTGCTGTCATGTGCTAAGTGTAAGCACATCCCGAGCTGGAAGGGACCCCCAGAGATCACAAGTCCAACCCCAGCCCCACACAGCACCCCCAGCCCCGTCCCGCGGTGTCCCAGCTCCCTTTGGCAGCTGGGGGCCGTGCCCACCGCCCTGGGGAGCTGTGCCGTGCCCACCGCCCTCCGGGCACAGCCTGCCCTCGGCCCGGCCTCCCCTCAGTGCTGTTCCCTCGGGCCTGCTCAAGGCCTCCCGCCTTCTCCTTTCTATCGGGTCAGATTTTAGGATGATTTAGGTTTAGGTTAGATGTTAGGAGGAAGTTTTTGAGCCAGAGGGTGGTGAGGCACTGGAACAGGTTGCCCAAGGAGGCTGTGGATGCCCCATCCCTGCAGGCATTCAAGGCCAGGCTGGATGTGGCTCTGGGCAGCCTGGGCTGCTGGTTGGCGACCTGCACACAGCAGGGGGTTGGAACTGGGTGAGCACTGTGGGCCTCTGCAACCCAGGCCATTTCTATGATCCTATGATTGTCCACTGTGGTGTTGCAAGCAGGAGCTGCCTCAGGACCCTGCCAGAAGTGGACCCTCCCTGCAGGGGTTTGCACCTTACATGACCTGCTGCTGTTCTCTCTCCTAGGCGTAGCAGCAGGCTGCGTTCAGCGCATCTGAGCAGTGAGAGGAAAAGGAGCTGTGGTACAGAAGCTGTGGTTTGAGGTCAGCCAGGAGCGCGCACAGCAGAGTCCCAGAGCATGGCCGCAGGACGTGTCACAAACAGCAGAAGATAAAGGGCCCCGGAGCTGCGGTCGGCAGCAGGAAGCCGTCGGTGCTGCTGCAGCCCTTGGGGAGGTGTGCTGTAATGTGCAGATTGCTTCCACCTGTGTGAAAACTGCTGTGAGGAGCGTTTGTCCCTGTTTGCCATTTCAGTGCTCCAAGACTTCACGTCGGTGCAATAAGGAACTGCACAGCATGTGGGGCTGTTCTACAGACGTTTCGTTTTTAATATAAAGCACAAATACTGAGCATTATCTGTTTATTTTGTCTGTCCTTGCATGCGTGCTGTTCTATGGGGTGGCACTGTGTTTGTCAGACACCAGTCTGTGCTCCTGGAGCTGGGGAGAGCGTGACCCTGATCCTGAACTGCACTGTTCTCCATCCCTCACCGTGTGCCAGCGGAGCTGCACAGAACCGTTCAGCCCAGAATTACAGACTTCTCATTCTTTCTCCAGTCCTACAACAGGCTGACAGATGGGGAGGGAGGAGCGCTTGGCGCAGAGTTTCCTACCCTCTTCAGATGTAGGGGAGCACTCTCTTAATATACTTCAGGGCTGAATTGAGGAGATGGAGGTCCCCCTCATTACCTGCGCTGTAGTGACTGAAGAGCAGTTTGTCCATGGATGATGGTGTTCTGTTTTTACAAGGAGGTCAGTCCTTGGTCTGGGATACCCTTCCAAATGAAAGCTTGGATAGAAATGTTGGTTCTTGTCAGGACAAATCGCTCTCAAATGGAAATAAAGTAGAAATTTTCTCATTGTTAATAGTACGTGGTTCCTATCCTTCTTTAGAATCACAGAATCATAGAATGGCCTGGGTTGAAAAGGACCTCAAAGATCATCTAGTTTCAACCCCCTTGCTATGTGCAGGGTCACCAACCACCAGACCAGGCTGCCCAGAGCTACCTTTACATGCTTTACCAAAGCGTGTAGACAAATGCCCTTTGTAATTATCTCATATTATTCAAATAATAAACCTCTCTTCCCCCTCTAGCTTCTACAGAGGTAATTCTTCATCAGTGTTTGGAATTTAGGTCATCTAATTGATGTGAATCTGGCTTACATCATCAACACCCCTGTACTGAAGAGTGAGAAAATATCCTGGCAGAGGATCTGTGAGTGCAGGGCATGTGGTACATACATGGAACACCCACAGAGTCACGAGATGTCATGGCAGAGGAGATGGTGATGTGGGGAGCAGAGCTCTGGGCTGGGCTGTGAGGCAGCCAGCCCTTCTTGTCCCCAGGACTTGCTTGCTGCTCCGCATTTCCACTCCTATCTTGTCTCTGCCGAGACCCTAGACTTATAGTGAGAGGTTGTTCCTGCTACTTTTATGCAGCACACTGCATGTTGGAGAGCTTTGATTAAAGGGATATAAAATTGGACTCCTGTGCCTGTGTAACATAAACTTAAGAAGACTTTTGCCCTGAAGTCCACTTTGTAATGTCAAGCAGCATCTTCTGTTCTCAGCACTTCCCGAAGTGGTTAGAGCTTTCTTTTTTCCCCTTTCCCTGCTCCCTCCAGGTTGCATGCATACAGAGCTGTGTGGTACATTTAGGCATGTTTCCTGTGACCCTTCTTTTCAGGATGGCATCTAACTTGGAAGGCATTTTTCTGTTTGAATGTCTAACTGTTACAAATGAAATGTAATTACTGACAAGCAGGGATTTTCTGATAGCACCGAAAATAGCGCAGCTTGTCTCAACCAAACACATCTCCCTTCCCTCGTGCATGTCAGGCTACACGTGCCTGTGGGTTTGCAGACCATCTCAGGGGAGGATTCCACTGTTGTTCCGAGCACCTGGAGTTTGGGAATCGCAGCAGCAACGTTGCTGCTCTTCCACCTTTCCTGCCAATGTAGTCAGACTTGAAAACCCGAAGTGCTGTTCACCAGGCGCTGCAATTAATGTGATAGCCCATTTTCTCCTGTGGTCTTGCACTGTTGCTTGCACAGCCGAGTGTAGGTAGATATCAGACCTCCTCAGCCAGGTAACACTGCCTTCTCCTGCACCATGCTTAAAGCCAAAGCAGGTTATTATTGAGCAGAACCTTGATGTACCTTTTCTTTCTCAATTATCACAAGTTTTGCATTTGCTTTCCAGAATCATAGGATCATAGAAATGGCCTGGGTTGCAAAGGCCCACAGTGCTCATCCAGTTCCAACCCCCTGCTGTGTGCAGGTCGCCAACCAGCAGCCCAGGCTGCCCAGAGCCACATCCAGCCTGGCCTTGGATGCCTGCAGGGATGGGGCATCCACAGCCTCCTTGGGCAACCAATGAATTTGCCCTTGGAGCTGGGAGTAGTTCTATCTTGTGAGATAACCAGTTCTTTCCAGGCAAGATGCTGTAGATAGGAGTATTTCTTTTTTAATTGCTTCCATCTGAGTATAACAGAAAAATCTTTCTAATGTTGTAAGATTTTAAAGCTCACGTGCAGCAGTTCTAAACTTGCAAAGCCCAGTGCTCTCCTGTTTGTATAAGCATCAGTGTTCAGTTGTAGCCCTTCAACCTACATGAGAAATGTATGTATGCCCTATGGATACTTTTGTTTCAGATAGAGATCAATAATAAATTGCCTCTTTGAGTCATCTGAAGGTTGTGTTGAACAAATAAATTAGAATCATAGAATCATAGGATACTTTGGGTTGGAAGGGACCTTTAAGATCACCCAGTTCCAACCCCCTGCTGTAGGCAGGGACACATCTAATCCAGGTTGCTCACAGCCCCATCCAGGCTGGCCTGGAGTGCTTCCAGGCAGGGGGCATCCACAGCCTCACTGGGCAACCTGTGCCAGTGCATCACCACCCTCACAGTAAATAAATTCTTCCTGATATCTAGACTAAATCTGCCCTCTTCCAGTTTAGCATCATTTCTCCTTCTCCTGTTGCTATCTATCCTTGTAAGAAGTCTCTCCTTTTCTTTCCTGTAGGCCCTTCAGGTACTGGAATGCCCCTATATGTTCCTCCCAGAGCCTTCTCTTCTCCATGCTGAACAAGCCCAGCTCCCTCAGCCTGTCCTCATAGTGGAGGTGCTGCAGCCCTCTGATCATCTCTGTGGCCCTCTGAACCCACTCCAACAATTCCATGTCCTTCCTGTGTCAACAGCCCAGAACTGGATGCAGTACCCAGGTGGGATCTCACAAAAGCAGAGCAGAGGGGCAGACCCACCTCCCTCACCCTGCTGGTCACTCTTCTGATGCAGCCCAGGATCTGGTTGGCATTCTGGGCTGTGGGCACACATTGCTGGCTCATGTTGAATTGCTCATCAGATTGATTACAAAGAGCATTCTGACTCTTGGGAATGCAGGTTGAGGTTTATGATTTGCTTCTTATTTGTGCTGCAGTGTCTCTGGTCAGAACAGGCAGACTGCTACAAGTAGTGGGCTCCTGGAACATTGAACTGTATTTAGCTTGAATTTATCTACCTTAAGAAGGGCAAGTTAGTGATGGAAGAAAGTATTTTGAGAAGCAGTGGATTTTCCTTTTTCTGATGTTGCTAAATCAGGCTTCTGGTAAGTGGGATCTGTACAGTGGTCTGAAACATAGTTCTCCAGCTTGGAAAGCAGACTCTTCTAACATCTGTAATCATCCCAAAGCATTTCTTTCCATTACCAGACTGTTATCAGTAGCCAAATGTGAATACCTGGTGTTATAGGTGGCTATCCTCAGGCAGAGCTCTCTGCTGACCAACTCTTTGATGGCAGTTGTAAGCAAAGATTAAGTGGGGTAAGTACATCAATGTACTCGTACCAGTGCCAGCCTTCTTAATAAACCGTGCTATTCATTAGTGGTATCTTTGGCCTGCATCCCTGCTCTGAGAGTGTTTTTCTTCCATTGACATCAGCAGTTAATCCTGGCTTCTGGTGACACGAGAGAGCAGAAGTGGACCTGGAGTACCACTCACCTGCCTAAATCACATCCATGGCACTGGTGAGTATCTGAGCCATCATTATTTCCACTATAAATATTCACTTCCTCTAGTTAATGACACTCATGAAATTTTTTTTTTCTCTCCTGGAGTGGCTGAAAATCTCTCCCATAGCTGTGATGGTTGGCTTGGGAGCTCTGTGTCAGCCTGGGCTTCCTGCTTAGTCTTCTGCAGTATTGCAAAAAGTCATCTTAATCTCTGGCACTGGGAGAGGTACAACAGAAAATACCCCTTTATCTCCTATACTGCCAGCTAAGTGCTGCTGTTTGTAACAGGAGTAGGTCGGTAGAACAGAGGATTTTGACCTTTTTATCAATAGGATGTCAAGCTACTTGACTATGATGCATGTCAGGATCTGCTCAAAGATTTACTGAAGACAGGATTTGAAGGCTGACCTTGTGGCATACCTGACTGACATCAAATTGAGTCATCAAGCAATAAGTAATTGGAAATGTCTGGTTTGGGAAAAGAATTCACTGATACTTTTTTAAGCTTTAATTATTTAGGTCAGGAGAAACTGTTAAGATTAATTAGCGGCTTTTCCTCTCAGGTGCAGCCAAATAATCTTTCAGCCTCCTTTTGGACAAACCAGAATGGCCTTTTTTTTTTTCTTTTGGAAGTGAAGTCAGATTTGTATTGATTTCCATTTTGCTGGCAAACTGAAGAATTAATTCAGTACACCTTTGCATCCTTCAAGGTACGAGCCATGTTGAATTGTCTCATTGGAGACTTTGTGCTTCAACAACCAGCCCTTGAAGCCTCATCTGCAACCTGCTGATGGCCAGATTGTAGCACAGGGCTGTGGCCATCAGGTAGCTTCATTTGAATATGGAACCACAGAATCATTAAGTTTGGAAAAGACTAAGAATTCACTGCCCTGAGCATTTCAGAATCACAGCGTAGCTCAGGTTGAAAAAACCTTAAAGATCATGGAGTCCAACCACAACCCAGCCATCCTACCCCAACTCTAACAGCCCTCCGCTAAATCACGGCCCTGAGCACCACATCCAAATGTTTGTAAACACATCCAGGGATGGTGACTCCACCACTCCCTGGGCAGCCCATGGCAGTGATGAACAGCCCTTTCTGTAAAGAAGTTTTCCTGAAGTGGCTCAGAGTCAGACCTTCTGATAACGTAAATAAACACAAATAATCTGAAGTGAATTCTTGGATTAACCCTGAAGCATAAACTCACGATTTCCACAGTACTTTCCTATCATTAGTAGATGCATTGTCAGTCAGTATCCTAACCACATTTCACAGCAGAAATACTTTTCCAAGGTTCTCCGTCCCTGTAAATTCCTGTGTATTGAGGAGAAAAAAATCTAGTAGTCACATCTGTAGCAGAAGAGGAGCACAAAGGGAGGCATTTGAAATATAGCTGGCACCTGCATGTCACTTCATTGATAGTTATTGTCTGGAGATCTGATCCAGAAAGCAGAACTGATCATACTTCCTGAAATGGAGGAGGTATGAGCGGGTGAACATCGTGAGAGGAGCAGACTTTCATCAGCGTGTCTACAGATCTTGGACAAAGCGAGCTCAATTACCCTCAGCTGTGGTTTTCAGGTCACGATTATTTTATTGGTTCAGTGAAGGCAAACCATGCGAATATCAAAAATAGGAAACAAATGCAATGGGCTTTGCTCTTTTCTCTTATCTGCACACCGGTGCAATCATCCTAATGGGGAAATACAAAGTGTACAGCTGAGAGAACCACCTGGGCAACTGGAGCAAATCATTGCCCCGACGTAATGCACTCTGGAACTCCAGT